TTTTCCTCATAGTGAATTCTTCTATCCTTGCCCGTGGACGTAGGCAATCAAGTGCCGAACCACGTAAATCTGTGTGTCCAACATTTTATCTCTACTTTTGCTCTACTATTGCTGCGACCCTGCTCTATTAGGCCCCGGGTTTGTCCCAACAAGTGGTATCAGAGCCAACTTAGGGTACTTGTATATATCTACTTATCGTATGCTCTGTGGCTGCCACCAAAGGTGGATCCTCCACATCAGAAAATAAGTTAGGTTATCACTTACCCTTTGGAGGTGACGGGCACTGTTCACGAGTACGGTACTGTTCAAAAATACGGTACTATTCACAAGTACGGTACTATTCACAGATACGGTTACTGTTCATAAATACAGTTACTGTTTACGTGAAATAGTAAGAAGTTACTATTCGTGGTAGAAGCAATGACGGCGAAGTTCAAGATCGAGAAATTCGACGGGAGTAATTTCTCACTGTGGAAGTTGAAAATAAAAGCTATCTTAAGAAAAGATAATTGCCTGGCAGCCATTAGTGCAAGGCCGGACGACATCACAGATGATAAGAAGTGGAACGAGATGGATGAAAATGCTATTGCAAATCTCCATCTGGCATTAGCAGACGGGGTGCTGTCAAGCATAGAGGAGAAGAAGACAGCAAAGGAGATCTGGGATACTCTAACAAAACTATATGAGGCGAAATCCATGCACAATAAAATCTTCTTAAAAAGGAGACTTTACACTCTGAGGATGGCGGAATCTACATCGATGACCGACCACATCAACACCCTAAACACACTGTTCTCCCAACTCACAACGTTGGGATATACAGTTGGTGCGAATGAACGTGCAGAACTTCTACTTCAGAGTCTACCTGACTCGTATGATCAACTCATCATCAACCTGACGAACAACGTCCTCACGGACAATCTAGTCTTCGACGATGTTGCAGCCGCTGTTCTGGAGGAAGAAAATCGGCGCAAGAACAAGGAAGACAGACAGACAAGTTCGCAGCAAGCGGAGGCCTTGTCGGTGACGAGAGGAAGATCAACAGAACGTGGCTCCAGTGGGAGTCATGCCCATGGTAGATCGAAATCACGAAGTAAGAAGAATATCAAATGCTACAACTGTGGCAAAAGAGGGCACGTCAAATCGGAGTGTTGGCACAACAAGAAGAGTGGAGATAAAAAGTCTTCAGAGCCATCAACATCTCAAGGATGCGTTGTCAGCACGTCAGAGGATGGTGAAATTCTATTCAGTGGAGCAACCACTGTTGATGAAGGCAGAAAGAAGTTTGCTGATGTCTGGCTTCTAGATTCAGCAGCCTCTTGGCACATGACCTCTCGGAGAGATTGGTTTCACAAATATGAACCTATCTCAGGAGGATCTGTATTCATGGGGAATGATCATGCCTTAGAGATTTGTGGTATTGGTACTATCAAAATCAAAATGTTTGATGGTATAATACGCACCATTCAAGATGTGCGACATGTGAAGGGCTTGAAGAAGAATCTATTGTCTTTGGGACAATTAGATGAGCTCGGGTGCAAGACTCATATAGAAAATGGAGTCATGAAGATTGTTAGAGGGGCGCTTGTGGTGATAAAAGGAGAAAAGATAGCTGCAAATCTGTACATGCTCAAGGGAGAGACTCTGCAGGAAGCTGATTCATGTGTGGCATCAACCAGCCGTGGAGAAGAACAAACCATGATGTGGCATCGCAAGCTAGGCCACATGTCAGAACGAGGCTTGAAGGTTCTCTCCGATCAGAAACTGCTTCCTGGACTTAATTCGGTAGCTCTTCCATTCTGCGAGCATTGTGTTACAAGCAAGCAACATCGACTGAAGTTCAACACATCGAGTTCTAGAAGCAAGGCTATTCTGGAACTGGTTCATTCTGATGTATGGCAAGCACCAGTTACATCCTTAGGAGGAGCAAAGTACTTTGTGTCCTTTATTGATGATTACTCCAGGAGATGTTGGGTGTATCCTATCAAGAAGAAGGCGGATGTGTTCTCAGTCTTTAAAGCCTACAAAGCGCGGGTCGAGCTTGAATCTGAGAAGAAGATCAAGTGCTTGAGAACAGATAATGGAGGAGAATACACAGACGGTGAATTCCTAGCATTCTGCAAGCATGAAGGCATCAAAAGACAATTCAGTACGGCTTATACTCCTCAACAAAATGGAGTGGCGGAGCGGATGAACAGAACTCTGTTGGAAAGAACAAGAGCTATGTTGGCTACTGCAAATCTGGAAAAAGTCTTTTGGGCGGAAGCAGTAAAAACCGCCTGTTATGTGGTGAATCGATCTCCATCAACTGCAATACAATTAAAGACGCCGATGGAGATGTGGACTGGCAAGCCAGCTGATTATTCTAACCTCCATATATTTGGATGTCCAGTGTACGTAATGTACAATGCCCAAGAAATTACAAAGCTGGATTCAAAATCCAGAAAATGCATATTCTTGGGGTATGCTGATGGAGTAAAGGGGTATCACTTGTGGGATCCCACTACCTATAAGGTTATCATCAGCATAGATGTTATCTTTGTAGAAAATCAACTACAAAGTGGTGAAAAAGAAAGCAGTTCGAGGAAGGACTCAGAGACTGTAGCTGTTCAGGTAGAAGATAATCCGAATTCTTCTGAAGCGACACCGGAGCATGATGTACAAGAACCAGTCGAGGCCGAGGCTCCAGAAGTTCGAAGGTCAACTCGTGAGAGAAGACCACCGACTTGGCACTCGGAGTATATTACGGAGAGTAATGTTGCATACTGTCTTCTAACAGAAGATGGAGAGCCATCAACTTTTCATGAAGCTATAAATGGCACAGATGCATCTTTGTGGATGGCAGCAATGCAGGAAGAAATTGAAGCTCTCCATAAGAACAAGACTTGGGAACTTGTGTCACTGCCACAAGGAAGAAAGACCATTGGAAACAAATGGGTCTACAAGATCAAGCGAAATGGCGATGATCAAGTGGAGCGGTATCGTGCTAGATTGGTGGTAAAAGGATATGCTCAGAAAGAAGGTATTGATTTTAATAAAATATTTTCTCCTGTAGTTCGACTAACAACAGTCCGAATTGTCCTGGCTATGAGCGCTATATTTGACTTACATATAGAGCAGCTAGATGTGAAAACAGCATTTCTTCATGGAGATCTTGAAGAAGAAATTTACATGCTCCAACCAGAAGGTTTTGAAGAAAAAGGAAAAGAGAACTTGGTTTGCAGATTGAACAAATCTCTGTACGGTCTAAAGCAGGCGCCGAGGTGTTGGTACAAGAGATTTGATTCATTCATCATGAGCCTTGGATACAACAGACTTAATTCAGACCCTTGTGCATATTTCAAGAGGTTTGGTGAAAATAACTTTGTTATCTTATTGTTGTATGTTGACGACATGTTGGTTGCAGGCCCCAACAAAGATCGTATCCAAGAATTAAAGGCTCAGTTGGCTAGGGAATTTGAAATGAAGGATTTAGGATCTGCAAACAAGATTCTAGGGATGCAAATTTACCGAGACAGAATTAATAGGAAGATTTAGCTTTCTCAGAAGAACTATTTGAAGAAAATCTTGCGACGCTTTAACATGCAAGATTGTAAGTCAATTTCTACCCCACTTCCTGTTAATTTCAAGTTATCCTCCAGTATGAGTCCTAGCAGTGAAGAAGAGAGGATGGAGATGTCTCGAGTACCGTATGCATCAGCAGTGGGAAGCTTAATGTTCGCGATGATTTGTACAAGACCAGACATTGCACAAGCAGTGGGAGTGGTTAGTCGATACATGGCGAATCCTGGTAAAGAGCATTGGAATGCTGTAAAGAGGGTTCTAAGATACATTCAAGGAACCTCAAATGTTGCATTATGTTATGGGGGATCTGATTTTATTGTCAGTGGATATGTTGATTCTGATTATGCAGGTGATCGTGATAATAGCAAATCCACCACAGGTTATGTGTTTGCACTTGCTGGCGGAGCTGTAAGCTGGGTTTCAAAACTGCAGTCAGTTGTGGCTACTTCAACAACAGAAGCAGAGTATGTAGCAGCTACACAAGCTAGTAAAGAAGCGATGTGGTTGAAGATGGTGCTGGAGGAACTCGGCTATGAACAAAAGAAGATTTCTCTATTTTGTGACAGTCAGAGTGCTTTGCATTTGGCAAGAAATCCAGCCTTTCATTCAAAGACCAAGCACATTCGAGTTCAGTATCACTTCGTTCGTGAGAAAGTGGAAGAAGGAACAGTGGATATGCAGAAAATTCACACCAAAGACAACCTAGCAGATTTTTTGACCAAAGCAGTCAGTACTGACAAATTTATTTGGTGTCGATCCTCTTGTGGTCTGATGGAGACGTAAGCAACATGAAGATGGCAAGATAGAAAGAATGGTGTGAAGATATGATTGATGCTCAATCAAATCTTCAAGTGGGAGATTGTCAGGTGCCTAATATTCCAAACCCACCGAAAGTGCACAGCCACATATGTTGAAAATTTGAGAAGAAAACAAAAGAGCGGACCCCACAGCTACAGTAAAATATTAATATTTTATTGTGCATAGTGTTTTTCTAAAAACTATAAATAGGGCTCCAAATCCTTAAGGAAATTTCATCCCAGAAACAACTTCTTATATAAGAAGAGTGAGAGAGAAAAAAAAATAGAGAGAGTTTCTCCTTGTAAAGAGAGAGTTTGTAACTCCAGAGTTTTTTCCTCATAGTGAATTCTTCTATCCTTGCCCGTGGACGTAGGCAATCAAGTGCCGAACCACGTAAATCTGTGTGTCCAACATTTTATCTCTACTTTTGCTCTACTATTGCTGCGACCCTGCTCTATTAGGCCCCGGGTTTGTCCCAACAGTGAGCACCTTGACGATGACTACATGACTTTGATCACATCACTTGACATTTTATCATTAGAGAAATTTAAGAAATTTACTTAGCCATTTTTTTTGCTTGATAAGTTGTTTAATGTTTCATGGAATATGCTGCTTAAGAATTATTTTGAATTTTTCAGGTTCATCAAGACATGAATGCTCCATTGTCTCATTACTTCATATATACAGGTCATAACTCCTATTTAACTGGCAACCAACTTAGTAGTGAATCTAGTGATGTCCCTATAATCAAAGCATTGCAAAGAGGCGTCAGAGTTATTGAACTTGACTTGTGGCCAAATTCTTCAAAAACTGATGCTGAAGTTCGTCATGGCAGGTAAATAATTTTAGTAAGACTTGCTAAGTGCAGCTTATCCATGGGTCTGCTCATATTCGTATATTTGAGATTTAAGATCCATTTTGATTCAGATACTAAAAGAAATGTGACTTGTGAACAATGTTTTTGCAAAGAACCTTGTTAATGGACAAAGCCA